TAAATTTTGACCTTTATATAGTCACAACTTTTTATAATCACCAAAATTTTGTTTCCCAACCTGGTGATTATATCGAGACCTGACTGTATGTGCTAGAAATATAAGAAGGCTTCATATGAAACTCTTCTAATATGTACGGCAACCTTTCGTATTATAATCGTAAATCTAATTCGATAATACCGGTAAGAATGAAGTTAAGATTTCGCAAAACAAATTGATATAAATGCGGTAAAAAAGTCAAATGCATTCAAAGTCCACTCAAGAAATGCAGAGATAAAGGTAGTTGCTTGAATTCTGTTTAATGAGGCTATAAGTCTCCAAGGATGGTAATCGACGAGCATGACTAACATTTTCCATAACCTATTTACACAAATAAAAATGTTTTTCATGCGACAATCGAATAACTTTAATGTTTTAGAATACTTTCGGTCTCATTTCCACTTACTGTTTTCTCCAACGCAATTCAAGTTTGCGTATTGCTTTATTCACTTGTCATAAAATTTTTGGAAGATTTCATAATAATGTTAATTATATAATGTCACATAATCGGAAACAATGACAGGACTTTAAACCTTACCGTATTTGCGTGTAATAAAGGGCCGGGGCGTTAATTTGAAATTTACCTTTTTCAAAAAATTAGTTAAAATACTCAAAATATCGCCCATATGCGTCCCGAAATAACGCGCACCCACCTTTGTGTAATTAGTATCTGTGCAGCATTTTATCTCGAATCGATCACGGGTGTATATTTTGATGCATTGTCGTGATTTTATAGTATGAGTTCGTTTCGTGATTTATCGTATGGGTCAACAACTACACCTACAAACTTACACCTACACTGAGGCGCTATCGAAGAGGCGTGAAACGATTTGGGCGATTATCAGTTTCTTTGGAATTCCTCATCCGTATTTTATTAATCATTTTGTTATTATTTTTATACATTCACAAGTTGCTAACAAATTATGCAGGGCATCTTCAGTTTTTCCTCCACTATCAATTGTTCTTAGATTTTACAGGTGAGTTTCTTTCAATTCGTTACTTCATCTCGTCATTTTGGAACCTGGGCTTTTCGATCGTGGACTATTCTCATATGCGTTGGCCGTTCGATTGTCTGTTGATTATTCAATTTCGGTTCGATCACGATTACACGCATCGATCGGGTACCAGTATACATGGGTGTCTAAATTAGTTTGCTTTTGTCAGGTTGCAAAAATTATTTAGGTTACAAAAATTATTTTAGAATGCCGAATTTATTTTAAATCCTTTCGCCATAGTCTACCCTCTTTAATAATATCAACCTAAGCCATAAGATGAATTTTTATACAAATTTTTATATCCCTCATATATATTAACTTTAATATAATCCCTTGTTGATATCACTATCAACATGAATTTAAACTAATTCAAATGGGTTGATAAAAATGAGGGTAGACTGTACTTTCTTACTAATCAGTTATATATGCATTAATAACATCTTCAATAACATAATCAGGTTCATCATTTTCTGGCTCCGGTTTGTTTTCTTCTCTTTTTCATCTAAAAATGTATTAATATCTAACATTTCTTCAGAAAAATAATCGGCATCAAGCTCTTTAAACATATCATTGTCATAACCATATTTATATTTGCATAATTTTCCATAACTTGCTCAAATTTTAACTCAGGAACTGTTTGATTGATGTCTATTATTATTAGGGTCTTTGCCTTGAAATGATCTTACGGTATCATGTACTGTAAGGTCATTTTCAAGGCAAAGACCCCATTAAGCAACATACTAATAACGAATTAAAGTGATCGTTTATTTTGGTAACAGGTTTTTATCAAGACTTTCAAGAAATACGGAGTGGATGTTGAGCACTCTGAAGTAAGGCACACTGTTTCGCTAGTTGACGCTTTCCTTTTTGGTTTTTGAGTTGGTTCAACTTTTGCTGTTGCGCTTTGAACGCTTTCGTCTTCTATTTCATATATTTCTGTATCACTTGATTCACTTTGATACTGGAAAATGCTCTCCATAAAAATTTGGTTATATTTTTTTAAAGGTTCACTAATTAAAAATACAAGGAATTTTTTTATTATATACTTTCAAATTTTCTGCGCATTCACGTGATGTGTATAACACTACTGTATTAAGCAATTATATATAGTCTGCTCTGTCCAATAAAAATTTTTAAAATTCAACTGTACAAATACAGCATGATCAAAATTTTGGCGCGGCAGTACGTAACAACAGCCGGACGACAATACCGTTATCGTATGGATGGATAAAAAATTGACACAATGGTATAGACGTATATCAGTGATCGAACCAAATATCTGTCAGAGATATATGGGCCGCCATATATCTCCAAGATCCGATCAATGATATACACCCATACCATAATACCAATGGTTTTTTTTTTTACCCACCATACGATAACTTATAAGGATAGCGTATATACCGTAGAATTAATACTAGAGCCGAAATAGTTTTCTACGACATGCGCGGTTAGTATATCTAAAGTTACTATCTATCTGAAGTTGCAACTTTAGATATAAGATCTAATTTCAGGGCTTAATTTTAATCAGATCAACTTTATATATCTAAAGTTGCAACTTCAAATAGATGGTAACTTTAGATACGACATTCACATGAACAACGTGGTGCAGTAGAACATTGAATATACGACTTAGTGTCTCTCTTCATAAACATGCAAGATGTTTAATACTATTCATTTTACACCAAATATATAGTGAATAGCAGATTTATTATTAACAAGAAACCAGTACTGGTACATGAGTGTCTAAATTATGGGTTGATTTACGCAATGTTGTCTAAATTTTTTGGCTACCAATATCAGATATTATTATAGACCGCCTATATTATTATGCCTGTCTGTATTGTAAGGACTGTCGATATTATCATAGACCACCTATATTATTAAAGAGGCATTCAATGATGTGATCTTTAAAAAAGCATTAATTTTAGCCAATTTTACTGCTCCATATATTCCTAATTACTCTATTATCTTATTTT